TACACTCCGGCCTTCTTCAGGTGGTTGGAATGTCGAACTGAACCCTTTATTTCGCTCACTGGGGTAGACTGTTCTAGTTCACGTACAGTCTACCCCAGTGAGCGAAAACAAAGGGTTCAGTTCGATATTCCAAAAACTGAAAGGCCGGAGCAAAATGCCGAAACGTTGTAATAAATATGGCGACAAAGATGAGGACAATAGTCCGAATAATGTAAATAATGTACATAATACCTCATCTCAAAAATATAGACAGACTGTGTAAGAGTTGTGGTAATGGGTATTTTTGTGTAACCGTTTTCGGTAAAATGATACATTAAATTGGAAATTTTTGCAAAAATCAAATAATTGTCCAATTTTAATAAAACTTTCAGAACTTATTAAAAAATGAATGAATTTATTTGTGAAATTTTTATTTTTAGTAAATTTTGGTAAAAATATATTTTATTTTTACCATCTGTTACCCCGCACCCGTAACTTAAATTTATGAAATTTTCTAGAATTTCAAATCATTTTATATTATTTATATCAGGACTCCTTGGAGAATGTAAATCATCAATTTTTTCCCAACTATCAGTAACTTTTAAAAAATCTGCTCCAAATCGTAAAATAAAAGACTGCAATAAAACTATCTAATTAGGTAGGCTTTTATTTGCTTTTATAAATAATATACATTAAGGACATTATTGCCTGAAGAAAGCAAAATTACAAGAATTGTTTGAATTTAATTTTTTAATTTCAGTTTTAAAAAAGTTTTAAAATTCTTCCAAACATCGTCTGAGATAGGTTAATTTATTAATGAAGACTCTATTTACTAAGCGAAAATTAAAAGCTTACAACAAATCATCCTATCAAAACTTTTTACCATAATAAAAAATATTTTTTGCGTCTAAATACTTTGTTTTTTTTTTTAAGTATAGTGTATCTTAAGTGATATTATGGTTAAAAGGTCACGTGTTTCAAGGCTTGTCCCCCTTAAGAAAACTCTTTGTCATATAAAAGTTTTCGGCTGCGGGCAATTCTTTCATTTTACTTCCGAGTTTCATTGTTCATACGTTTCAACAGGCTTCTTTCGGAATCAACCCTTAAGGATTTAAAAAGCTTTTTTTTTCCTATTTCAGTAAATATTTTTAATTTTGCTATCAATTTATTTAATTTTAGTTTAGTGTGTCATGCATAAAATAATTTGTTTTATTTATTAGTATTTTTACTTAGTTAAGAAAGATAATTTAATTTTTTTTTAGTTTTTTAAGTTTTGGGAGTTAAATTAAATAAACTTAACAATTCATAACCATCAAAGTATAGCAATTAATAATAAAAAATATAAATTACTACTAAATACCATAACATTTCAAATTATAGAGATAACTCGATCATTACATTTTATATTATCTGTTAAAATTTAATAACTGAGTGATATAATAACGTAATTTTTAATTTTTAATTTAATAACTTAGATAATATAATTAAATTATTATATTATCTCAGTAATGAATTTAAAAATTTAATAGTTGAGAATGAGATAGTTATTAAATCATCTCAGCCTCACTTATTAAATTGGTAACAGATAATATAATTTTATTATATTATCTCAATTATTAAATCAAAAATTAAACTGAGATAATAAAATTATTATCTCATAATAACCGAGTGAGATAATTTAATTATCAATATAATATTTAATAATTTTATAAATTATTATCTCAGTTATTAAACTAAAAATATAATAACCGATAATATAATAATTAATAAAATTAATTATCATTATCTTAGTTATTAATTAATGAAATACCATGATAGAGGTAATTCAATAATTTAAGAAATATATTAAATTATTATATAAATCAATTTTAAAATTTTAACTGAAAAAAATCTGTAAAATATTAGATAATTACTTAAAATATTTTGTTAATTTTTAAACATTACCTGGTAGTTAAAAAACAAAAAAACAAACCATTCTTACTTAGAATTCGCAAATGTATTTAAATTCTGGTTCACCGTACTAAACATGTCCACACCGGTCGTCAAATTATCGATGGAGACGTGAGAATAACAAGACGCCATAGTCAATAATTGCTCGTTTAGAAAATTTTGTGCTATAATTAATATTTGTAATATAACTTTAATTTTGCTAATTTACGAATTGGTCAAATCCAAACTCAAACAAAAACATTGTTTTCAATCGCTATGAGTCTACCGATTGAATAGAATTTTATTATAAACAATTGTCTTGTAAATGGAATTTTTAAAGCATTCTGAATGTAAAAATAAAGAAAAAAGTGTGCAATAAGAAACACTACCTGACAAAAAAAGAGTGAAGTTTTGTTGAAATCGGTTGAAAAATGTAGGAAATCCGATCCAATATTTAAACGAACAGACACACACACACACACACACACACACAGGCTCTGACAATCCGCGTAGGTGAAACCTAGGTAGGTTTGTCTGGCTCTTTAGGTTTACTTAGATTTGCTCTACTTAGCATATTGAGCACTTTGCTTAGTTATTTTTACTTTACTCGTGTCGGAGGTTTTTTTTCTTTGGACTCTGAACTTAGATTCTAGACGATTATTTTTGCCGGAAGTATATGTTCTTTGTTCTTTCTTTTTTTCCCTTTTTTCCCCTTGGGTATTGGTTTGTTCATTTACAAGCTAAAACACCTAAGGTTTTGCCGGGCGAGTATACTAAAAACAACTAAAACAATTAAAAGCAAACGTCAATCTAAAAATCTAAAACATATTAACGACATTCAAATTTAACCAAACACATTACAAGGAGTCATAAAATGCAACAAAAAAAGATGTGAGGTTTGTGACATCATTATAGAAGGAAACTTGTACACTTTTGAAAACCCCAAAACGACATTCATAATAAATAAAAATTTAAACTGTAACTCCAAAAATGTGATTTATGCACTCAAATGCACAAAATCCAGGAAGTCATATATAGGTATCAGCCAACAATTCAACAACAGGGTTTCCCTCCACAAAAGCAACATAAAATTACCAGACAACAGAAAACTTTTTGTATCACAACACATCTTCAAATGTAACCAGTGTGAATTTAAGACTATGCCAATATATCAAACAAAAAATTATTCTTATCTACAAATACAAGAAAAAACTTTATAAACAAATAATGGCCAAATACAGTGGTCAAATCACACTCATCCATGCGCACACACTCACATGCGGGTGTCTGTGGAACAGGAATATTTATACGCATATTGGCAAAAACAATAGACTGCTGTGACTCATGCGCTCACCCTACACAACATAAGAAGGGTGTGTATCTGTGTATATATATATACTTGCATGTTAATTTAATTTAATATATATATATATATATATATATATATATATATATATATATGAATATATAGGGGTGACAGGCTGCTTCATGCTAGACGCAGTCGTCAGGACGCGAGTGTTGGGATTTTTCTCGACTTTTTCTATATATGGGTCAGTGGTGCATTGCGAGATTTTTGAAGCATCGATACGCTTTGCAGAGCCACGTTCGAGAGACAGGCAGAGCGAAGCTTGGCCAATGAGCGACATGCGTTCCCTTGAAGTCCTTCCTCCCGAAACTACTTAGAATCCAAGCTGCCACGTCTGTCTCTTATCTTTTCGTTGCTGTAGCGCAGAGATCCAGTGACAACATGGAACGCAAGAAACTACTGTCGCCTTTCTAGCAAATTGAACCGGTCTGGACATTTTACTCCGACCCTTTCCTTTTTTTTTTTTAAGCATTTTATCCCAAGCAAGGCGGGAGTGTCACTAGTATGCAAGGGACTACGACAAGTGTAAGTAAGGGAAAAACTGTGTGTAGAAGGTGTTGAGGAAAGGCTAAAAAGAAGAACGGGGAAGCATAAAAAGAAGAACCGGTATCACGTCAACAGATGTCGATTGACATTACATTAAAATTTTTAAAGATTATAGTTATCAAGGAAGCAAGTAAGAGGAAGGGAGTTCCGCTGTCGGGAAGTGCAAGAGTTAAGAAGCTGTTCGAGTAGAAGAGGCGGCGACATTTAAATGTTTTCGACATAAAATGTTGGGACCAAGATGCCAACCTAGTAGCATGCTTAAATTCATGCAGTCGGGACACCTGTGAAAATAGCTCTTCAGAACAGTTTGCCATGAAAATATGTGTAGAAAAGAGGGAATCCACATCACGTCTGTGAGAAAGCGACTAGAATCGAGGTGCCAGGTCAGGACTGATCACATTGCATATCCATCTTTGGATTTTGTTGATAACCTCGAGATGAACAGCGGGAGCACCAGACCAGATATGGCGACAGTATCCCATGCATGGACGAATGGTAGATTTGTATTTGTGAAGGATGGATTCAGGCGACAAAAACCTGGCGCGACACAGAGAACCAACTTTCCTTGCAGTAGATGCAGCTGTTGATTCAATGTAGTTGTTCCGCCATAGGTCAGTGGAAAATGTGCGACCAAGAAGGCGCAGTTAGGCGCTCTCGTGGATATAAGCATCAACTATGCTGATAGGAGGCAAGGACGTTTCTCTATGGTTTCGTTTTGGAGGCTTTAAAATTTTTAACCAATTTCTTGCCCCAGTCAACCACAGACTGGAGGTTTTTTTCGAGAGCAACGGTCAGGTTTCATACTTCAACAAAGGAATTTTTGTCGATAGAATTACCGCTAAATTGATATTCTTCTTTTTCTAACTATTCTCTGTAAGCCCTGTGTTCTCTGTGAAAATCCTAACAGAGAAGAAGTTTTTCTAATAGTGATACCCACGCTTCTTGAACCAATGACCATGCAGCGTTCAATGTCACTTAAATTACTTTTCCTGCCAATACTGGTGTATGAAATGAAATTCAACAGGTCGCTATGACCATGTTCAGATGCCAATATCCATTAAAATGTTGGCATGACGTTGGTTGATTAGAAAACTACATAAAAGAGCATTTATTTACTTGAACTTAATCCAATGGTCAATGAGGTCAATGCACGAGAAACATTCAAATAGAAAGACTTTAC